GCTGCTACTACTACTACTGCAAATACTCCTGCTCGTACTACTACTACTACTACTACTACTACTACTACTACTACTACTACTAGTACTACTACTACTACTACTACTACTACTACTGCTGCTGCTACTACTACTTCTTCTTCTGCTACGGCCACGGCTATTGCTTCTGTTACTGCTCCGCGACGGCTACCCGCTGCCGCTACAGCTACCGCTGCTCCTGCTGCTAATTACCAGAACGAGTCCGAGCGAGTACTACTCTCTCCAACTATCCAAGAGTAGCTGATGCTGCAAGCCAGTACTCACGAAAGTCTCAAAAACTGCGAGCCTTTGCGGCAGCAGCGGCTGCTTGCGCAGCCTGCTTGAGAGATTGGGGCTTGTGAGACAAGGCTCGGGGATTGCAGTTCCTTTCGATCGTATTGCGCCCTAAACCTTAAAGCCTAAACCCTAGAGTTGGTAGACGGGTCGAGGCTTGCTCAACATGGAGAAAACCATGCAAAGGCTAGGCCGAGACCCGGCATGTTCCTACCAGAGCCCCCATCCGATGCCATTGTCAATTGCATCTTCAAAAAGAGTTGCTTTGCTTGAGGGTCTTTTTCAAAAAGAGTTTAGGCTTTAGGGTTTCATGATCCTACAGAGTTTAGATTTTGTGGTTTAGGGTCGTCACCGTTGCACTTGTCCCCAGGGCATGTACATAGGCTGCCATCCTCGTCAGCACTAGCGCTGTCCGATTCCTCTTTGTGATCCGTTAGGGATATAGAGCTTGGGGTTGCTCTAGCATAGGCTCCATAGTAGTTCCTCTTGGGGATTACCTTATAGGATCCTAAGTCCTAAATTCGCATTTGCGAACTGAAACGACTCCAGCTCGAACAAGAGGAAGAAGAGCAGCAACTACGATAAGGATAGTGGTCAAAGTAGCAATAACACTAGTGCTGATGACCATGGCAGCTATTCAACACTATGAAAAGAGAGAGGCAAATGAATGCAAAGAAAGAGTGCTTGCTCTAACACTATCCAGTTATGAGCGGACCAGGCGTTGCGCAAGAACCCATTTGAGACATCAGACGCTTCTTTCACACCTTTCTTACATCTAATTTTGAAGCACAATGAACGGAGGGAATGAGCCCGTTCCGATTGAATTAGCAGAATGGGAATAAAGTAGTGAAGCAAGCCTAACGCATGCATGTTGCATCTCGTCCAAGCAAAACATCAAAACACACTAATCATAGACTATGGCACAGAAAAGAGAGAGAGAGCTTATTAATGCATGCTGGCAGTATAACCAGGCGTACTGAGCAACGAGGCGAAAGAAAGCACTGTTTTATCATCGTCATGTCTAACAACCAACAAGCTATTGCTTCTACATGATCATTTGCCCGAACAAGCTAGAGTACAAGGCACAGAAGAAGCAGTGGCAGCTGCCTACACATAAGAACGACATGGAAGACCCTTACCCACATTCGTCGCGACATGTCGCCACAGGACATGTCTCTACATCTGAAGGCGGTGCAATAGTTATTAACACACGAACCAAGAAGCGAACGACCAATCAAGCCAACGATCGCGAACGACAGCAACCGTTATTGCCACGGCATCTTCGCGCTTAGTTGCTCGCAGGGGCTCCTAGCAGCCAGCGTACCTTCAGCCTCATCTGGGTCTTTCAACAAGCTCGAAACGATCACTTTGGTCCTGAACCCCGACTGACTCCTGAACCCCAATGACTCCTATCCCCTAAACCGTACGTAACATGATCCCAAACTTTCAACCGGATCAAGACATTCCGCGTGAACGCGGCCCACGTCCCCACCTGTGCCACGGGCGCCGGAGGTCCTGTTGCTGGGCTCAGTGCTTTTCGATCGATGTTGGGACGACTGACGGCCTTCAACTCCAGACCAAAGGCTGACATAGGGCTCCCTATCAGGGATCTATATAAAAGCTACTAGGGTATATACGGTATATTATAGGGGCCTTGATACTTAGAATAGGGGTTCCTTTGTTGTTTTACTGTCAGAGTTCGGACTTTCAATACTTTGCGTGTCTGCGCCTGTGCCTCTCAGTATCTGCAATGTAGAGGGCCTAGACAAGGATTATGCGGAACATTATGCTTAATCTGATGCTAGAGGGATACCATCCCTCATCTCATACTTATATCGTCAGTCATTGTAAGGGGATACCAACCCTCATCCCATTAGCTATATTATCCCTTGACAGTCTCCATAGATTTGGAGTCATACTACAACATATCCCTGGGCCCTGTTCTAATTATGCGGGTCCCGATATTGATCTCATGGCACGCAATGCCAGGCCTGGCTGCGACGCCTTTGTCTGTGCATTGCCGGCCTCAGTCAGACTAAGATTTTCAAAAGCCGACCTCGGAAGCTCCGAAAGCAAAGTCCTCAATCCAGAGGATAGTCACGACGATTTGTGTCAGGGTTTAGGGTTAAGGGTAAGCACGAGACACAAATAAGTTTATGACACAGACATGTATATCTGGGCCTCCACCCTGCGCATGGCATCTATGCTCCGTGAAACCGAGCCCTGCTCTCGGCACATCAATCAACCGGACACAACCGCCACAGGTAACATGGTCCTAATACTTATAGGGTCGGGGAATAATTATAGCAAACTTGTTGAGTGACAAGAGGGGGAAATACTGTTGACTGTTCAGACCCCAATATTGTGTCTACTGTGACAACTGCGACTCTCTTTGCTGGCCTCCAAAGTATGCATACAGTCTTGCGGTAAAGTATCATATAGGCCTCTCGGGGACTATAAGGGGATGTGCCTCTTTATTCTTAATTCCTGAGATCGAGATTTCGAGTTTCGGAAGCCGCACCCTTCTCCATCCAGACGAGGAAATCAAGAAGACCGAATGACTCATGACCATAAAACACGATAGCAAGCCTTTCAATAACCCTTATGCCAACCTTTACTACGTAATAACCCACTTATGGCAGCCTTCATTGCAACCTAACCTGGTAACCCCTATAATGATCCTTGCAGTAGGCCTTCTAGAAGCCCAACTGCGCGCCCCAAAGATTTCAGCTCGGAGGCCCGTAGCCGAGGCTCGATGCTGTGCCAGCCCTACCGTCGGTAGACTTCCTCTAAAGGAAGGTAGGGGCCGTAATGGTTGAAATAGAGTTTAGGGTTTAGCGTTTAGGGTTTAGGGTTTAGGGTTTCCTTTAAGGGTTCCCTTGAAAAAAGGGTGCTGAAGGATTCGATCGTTGGGAGTGCCATACGGGCTTGGTACAGGGGCCTCAATGATTAGGACAAGATTTCGGGGCATCATGTAACAATCTAGTAACAATAAAGAATTCCTAGGAAACTATTGGGCACTATACTCCAAAAACCAAAGCCCCCAACCCCAAAACACTAAAAGCCTATGACCCCCAAGCCGACACCCCCAAACCCTAAACCCTAAACCCTGAACCCTAAACCCTAAACCCTGAACCCTATACTATCCCGAGAAAGGCCCCAAACTCCAAAACTAAAACCCTGAACCCTAAACCCTCAAGAACAGGATAAATAGAAATTGTGTGAATTTCGCTTTCGCTGTGAACTGCATCCACTTTTTTCGGTTACACGTGTGCAACCCCGATTTTCCCTTCAATCCATCCCTTGGCCGCCTCACCATCCACCATCTTCACGTCTGACAAGTAAAAGCTTTTCTGCTCCCTTCCCCATCGCCACCTCGTCTTCTCCCTCCCCTGCCCAGGTATTGATTGGTACTTGTTCCCGGGCTACTTCTGCGATGGCTC